AACACCTCGAAGTAGGTCCGAGCATCGAGCGAACCTGATCGATGAACGACCGATGTTGTCGAACAATATGTTGCTTAAGGCCAGTAGGGGACGGCGACGTAGCGGAGCACAACATACAAGTAAACCTGGGAGCCGCTTCCACCTCCTGCACACGCAGCGGGTGCTCTGGGTGGTCCACCGGTTTGGGCACTCCTGATTCGTAAAGGCCCTGAAAGATATCTCGTTCGGCCCTGTCGGCATCCGCAATACGGGAATCATAAGCCACCTGTGAGGCCACACCCGTAGAAACAATGGTCTTCCAACTCAGAGCAGATTTTCGGACCAGGGCTTCCCATATGGGTAAGTTGTCCGCGGGTGGGGGGTACTTGCGCAATCGATGATGTCGGTGTCGCAACCACTCCAGATCCTCCAAAACCTGATGCATCCAAGTCCCCCGCCCTTCCTCCAGACAGAGCCTGGCCAACCCAACCAGGTGACTGGGGCCAGCATGCAGAAGCCTTCCAAACAATCTCAACCTGTGGGCGCGAATCGCCGTCTTGGCGTCCGGTCTCCTGGCTTGGGCGAGGATGTGGGAGTTCGGAATGGCAGTTTGGTCCTTCCTTGGCCTGTGGAACACCGCGCGGTACATGCGAACGACCTCGTCTGACAAGGTCGCTAGCTGCGCTTCTGTAAGGGCTGGCCACGTGCCAGCGTTGAAAAGCCTGCTGGAGCACATGAGAGAGTCCACGAGGATGAGGCCAACTTGCTTATCTAACTGAGGATCCCGCAGAACTCGCCGTAAAACCTTCCAAGAAGCCGTGCAAGAATGACTTCTGTGGGCCAGCTCGGGGCCCAGGGCCCCAGCTTCATCCAGAACGGTACCCATATGAGTATACTGGCGGACCGCGTACAGCGAAATATCTCCTAGATGTCGAGTGGGAACTAAAATCTTCCCTTCTGGGCGATTCTCCACAGGTCAGACTTGGCCTTGTCCGAACCTACACCTCGAAACTGAAACAGCATCGGACTCTTGCCCTTAGCCGTGTGCAGCCTCATGCCCCTCTCTGCAAAGGTATCAAAGATGGTGGCCGCAATGAAGGGAGCGTATTTGAGAAGGGTCTGAGCTTTCCCGAGAAACATAAACATCGCGTCGTCGAAGACAGAAAGATCCATATAATGACCCATAAAAGCGGCATCATCTTCAACGTCGGGCCCCAGGGAACGGTGGTCACTCACAGGGAAACGAACATCGATGCCGTATTCCAGAATTCTGGCCTGCACGGTTTTCATGATAGTACCCAAAACATAGTTGAAAACCACATCCCCCAGCTGTTGTCCTGGCCCCGTCCCCAGTTGTGGAAACGCGAACTCGGTACTGCCTGGGAGTATGTACCAACTCTGATCGTATGAGTCGGATACCTGGGCATGCACACGGCTGCTGATACCAGGAGCGTCGCGAAAAATGGGGCCCTGCTGCTGAGTATGCTCTGCAAGCTCAGCGCGAGCCTCGGGTGGAAGTCCCGCCTGTTGTAAAAATACTCGCCGGCGCCTCCTCTGAACCTGACGTCCGAAAGACAAGTTCACGCACCGCTTTATAAAAGGCCTGCACGGCGTCGAGGGGGATGAACAAAGCTGAGAGCTTTCGAGCCTTAGCCAGCTGTTGGAACAGACGAACCTCCAGCCCACCAAGATCAACCCCTAAACCAGCAACACCTCCATACTGCCTGGGGCCCACATAGGCCTGAAGATGAGGACCAATATCTTCACGAACAATGGACCTGAACCTTTTCCCAAGATGCGACGATCCCAAGATACTGCGGTAACAGCTGCGATCCCCAGGGTCACCTTTTTTGAACAGCGGCCAGTAGTAACCACCCTTCCACTGGATCGGCTCCTGGACCCTCAAAAAGGACTTGACAACAAGGGGGAAGAGGAGCTGGGAGATCGGTTTAAACAGCTTCTTGACCATAGCCCCAGAAATGCCATCAGGTCCTGCTGCTGCACATTTGGCCTTGCGGCAGGACCTCTCCACTCTGGCTAGCGTTGGTACTTCTCTGACGTCGAAATGTATGTCCTGCAAATGCTCAGCTGGGAGAGCGGGCAGGACGCTGGCGTACCAGTCTAAGTCCTGCATCGGCACAACTGGAGCAGCCTCTATCGCAGCAAAATGCTGCGTCCATGCCTCTAGAGCCTCTCTCTCTGAGTGCACCGGTTGCCCGTCATCACCACGGAGAAGTGGAAGGGGTTGGGACCTGGCTTTCTTCCTGGAACATGCGCCTACGGACCTAAGCCTCCTGTACGCTCGAGCATGCTCCTTGAGAGACCAGGCACTCGTGATATCCCTGGCGATGTCCGAGTAATGAGCTCGCGTGTCCTGCTTGACCAGCAGATTGACATACTTGGTGCTCTCAGCGAGACAGACCGTGCGCAGCGCGTGAGACATCGAAGAAAGCCTCCGAAGGTTGGCAAGCACTTCAACCAGCCACATGCCGATAACACTGTTCGTCTGCGCTACCATGTCAGTGGGTGGGGCCAGGGCTCTGAGAGAGGCTCTCGAGGGGCCTCGGGGTCCCTTGGTAGGTACTTGAGCGATAGTAACCAGAAGGTCCGACTTACAATCCAGGGTGTCCAGAACTCCATCCCAGGCGTCGCGCCAGCATTGCAAACTGCGAAGGACCCAGACCCCCAGCGACGACCAGGACCCCGAGAATGAACGAGACGACAAGGTCCACGTAGCACGCCGTAGGCAGAACCATGAACCACCAATAGGCGCGGCCCAAACTCGAAAGCAAGCTCCCAAGACAGCCTTGTTCCATCGGGTCCCAAGATATCGGAAGCGTCGTAGCCAATAGGTGTGAACATCCATGGCCTCCAGAGTACACAGGGAGATCCAAGATTGCCTAGGTTTGCGTCCATTTTCCGTGGCGCGACATGGGAAAGCAAGCGGCAGGGCACGGTGCAGAAACTGAACGACCTCCTGGCAGTGGTCGTTAACGTGCACATCAAAGGAAGGCTTCGAACTTGGCCCGTAGCTCTCCACATATCTGGCGAACTTGGCCCGTGCGGCAGGGTCTTCAAACGCCGTAGGATCGCACGCAATCTTGGGGAAGAACGAAAGCACGTTGCTGGCCTTGGCTGTGATGGGGGAAGCGGATAACGGCGCTGACAACCTTATGGTCCACGATGGAAACAGTAAGATCCAGAGAGTTCAAAACAGTAGCCGAGTCCACCTGGCAATCCCTAGAACAACAAATGTCATCAATACGTTTGCCTTTGGACATATCCAGAAATTTGTTTTGGCCCGCAGGAGGAAACCATGTAGCCCCGGAGCGCGTCGATGGCAAAATCGTAGCTGGAACCCAAAGCCTTCTATCAAGCATCAGGTTGTGGAATAGTTGGCCAGGAAGATTCTCTGGCTCAGCTTGGCATCCTCCGATGGCCTCTGAGGTACGGGATCCAACTCGGCCATTGGCGTCGATCAACCACATCTCAGGGACGGCGGTGTCAAGCACTTGGCGTAGCCGGTCTTTAAGTTCCTGCCGCCACTTACGGATGGCCTCTTGACCCGCTCCGCTGTGCGGGCCATGCCCAATCACTGCGTTGAGAGAGAATTGCTGACACCTTATCGCCACAACGAGCACCCTCGGCGTCGCATAAAGTACTTTGCAGTGCCTAAGCAGCAAGCGTACGGAGTCAAAAATCGCAACGGTAGTGTTGATCCAGAATGAGCAACCAAAGCGTCGATATTGGTCCCCCGCGGAGTGGATGACGTGATAGCCCCTAACCCTGGAAGTGCCAGACCGCGGAAATCTAGTCTCAACCGTACCTGCGAAAAGTACCCGAGAGGTCGCCAGTTTATGCCCAATGTAGGCCATCCGTCCAGGTAGGAAAAGGCCCGTGGTTTTGGCCGACCGATGGGCCCTGGGATCCAGCGTGAGAACGTTGGCGGCGACAACGGTGTGGGCTCGAGTCAAACGAGGTCCTCCTGGCCCCTCATTTTGACCCTTGGCCTTGACCCCTGGACCCTCATGCTCCAGTGGGGGAGCCAAGTCCCTCAAAGAGAAAGTAGATGGCATGGACTCGTTCAGCATGATACCTGGGGCAGGAGGAAATTGCCCTCGAACCTGGAGCGGGGCCGAGTCCAGCCATGCCCATGCAAGTGCCTCTAAATGCTGTTCAATATGTCTCCAGTCCGTAGCCGGCTGCCGAAATTGAAATAGGTGCGCCGATGCTAGAGTACAGAGCGTGTCAGCAAACTCATTCCATGGCTGCGCCGGGTGTCCTGCAACGTGGAAAACACGGCAGCTGCGGGCCCTCATACGCGTAATTTTCTGAAGGGCATCCAAGAGACGGCGCTGGTTCCCAAGAGAGCCTAGAGTGGCACCCCCATCAAGAACGTCAAGAACCTTCATGTTGTCCCCATATAGACAAATATCCCAAGAATCCAGAGCCCCCAGCTGCAAAAGCCATGCCAGGGCCCATCGGGCCGCCAGTAGTTCAGCCATAAAGGAAAACAAATCTGGAGACAGGTCCGAGTCCTCGAAAGTAGAAGCCGTATAACCAACAATGGCGACCCGTTCGTGAACGTCCTCTGCCAAAACGACGAAGCCCCAGCTAGGTAGGCCCTTCTCCGCATGAAAAGTGCGGCCAGGGACAAACAAGTTGCGATCGGGTCCTGAACGACACCCTCCTGATCCATCCAAGAAGATATGGATCTTGCACCAGCTATCTAAGTCGGTCATGGGATACAGTCCTGGAAGAGCCTGAACGGTAGAATAATGAAGGTAAGGGACAACATCCAGCAAACTGCTGTCGAGTGGGGTGTCCCAAGCCTGGAAGAGACACTCCTGGACCACCTGGGTATCCGGGAGTGGACTATATATATATATATATATATATATATATATATATATATGTGCATCCTCTGGAGGGGGCAGTACCATTCAGAGGAGTAGAAGGTGTGGCTCCCGAAGAGAGCTCTTCTTGATTGCCCTCCCTCGAGTCCTGCGAAGCGAAGTGCTTCAACTCTGCTGGGCCCCGTTCGGGTTGTGAAAAAGCTGCTGCCCCGCTGCCGCCGCCGCAGCGGCATCGCCGGGCGGCACCTCGATGTCGACTCCGTCCTTTCCCGCGTGCGGCAGGGTCTGGCTCTTCTCGGCGGGCTCGTCGGGATGTGCCTCGGGCGCTCCTCGCCTCGAAGCTCGTGTGGCCTGAACTGGCCATGGGAGCGGCGTCTGCCCAGGCAGAAGCGGGTGCGACTTCAGGTGCGATGCGCCGACCTTCAGGCCCGTGGCCTCGCGCATGGCGTTGAGCTCCTGCAAAGTCATCTCCGGGAGGCCGTCGGCTCCCATCTCCTCGGCGGGCGCTGTAGGCGCCGTGGCCGCGGCGGCGGCTGGGTATTGGCCAGTGGCCCCCGCGGCCTGCGGCTGCTGGCGCGCCTGCTGAGAGCCTGCTGCCAGCGCCGTCTGAATCGATGCGAGAGTCTGAGCCAACTGCGATAGCTGCGTCGCCATGGTGCTCTGGCCAGCCTGCAGCTGCGCAATCACCTGCGGCATTGCCTGTGGTGTCTGCTGCGGCGCCTGCTGGGGCGTGAGTGGCATCTGAGCCGCCGAGGTGCCCATGGCTGTCACGAACGGGCTGGGAGGCGTCACCATGGCCATGGGGCGTCCGTGGTCGGCCTCCGTGAAGGGGCTGGGCTGGCTGGGCTGCCGCCGCCACGGCGGCGCTGATGAGGCCTCTTGAGCAGCTGCTGCTGCCGCCTCCTGGGCCTTGGCATCTGCCTCGGCCTCCTCCTGCTCCTGCATAACCTTGAAGGCAGCGTGAATAGCTTGAGCCTTGTCCAGGTCTTCCTGCAAGGCAGCTCGGGTTGCGGCTGCAGTGGCCAAGGCAGTCTTGGCTGCATCCTCGGAGGCGACGGCGTCCTGCACCCTCTTCTTGGCCCGCTCGATGTAGCGGTCCTGGTTCTGAACTCGATCCTTGGACGGGTACGCGTGGATGAACATGTAGAGGATGACGGCATATTCGTCCGTCAGTTCGTTGAGGCGTGACTGGTTGGCCTTCATAGCCTGCTGAGACTTGATCTGGCATTCCAGGGCCTCTAGATTCTTCTTCAACTGCAGACGGTGGGCCGCAAGCTTCTTCTGGTCCGACGGCGGCTCCAACTATGCAGCGTGGGATTGAGCCTCCTGCGGCATGGCAGGTGAGATGCCTAGCGAGAAGCCAGGCAGGCTCGAAGCAGCTCCGTTTTGCGGTACTCCTCCGCGCCCACCAGAACCTGACCCACCTGTCTGGGTAGGTTGGGAGCTGGCCTGGGGCTGCTCGGATTGCGACTGCTGAGTCTTGCGAGGGTGCGAGCGGTCGCGTGACTTCCCTCCTCGTCCACGGGCCGACGGCTGCGGGGGGAAGCACCATGCACACATGCGCACGTTGGGCCAGTTGTGTGTGCCACACTGACCGCATTGCCACTGTTGCCCCGACGAGGAAGCGGGCTGCGATGAGCTTGGGTCGGGTTGTCGCTGCCATGGGCGTGACATGGCGCTGTGGTGTGCACGAAGAAGTTGATCTGCTGAAACGATGCGAACAATCGTGCGGGCGTGAGTCCGCCGTAGCCGCAGACGTCTGTGCCAGGCAGGCTCTGGCCTGCGCCGGCTCGTGCTGGGCGAGGCGGCGTCCGCGGCACGGGCGCGCGGCGGCGGCGATGGCGGGCGGCCGCGCGGCACGTGTGGGGTCAGCCGGGCGAGGGGGGGCCCGCGCTCCCTGGGAGCGCACCCCACGGCCCTCTTGACCAGCCAACGCCTAGGGGGGGAGGAGAAGGAGGAGAGAGAGAAGGCTTACATGTTCTCGAATAAACAAGAATCCCACCCAGGATGTGGGGACCAAATCAGAGTGATCGCTGGCCCGCAGTGTTCCATACTCTGCAGCATAGTGCACTTTGAGATGGTAGGTGTGGTATGATAGGTGTGGTACTGGTATGGTTTGGTATGGCAGGTATGGTATGAGATGGCAGGCATGGTAGAGGAAGGAAATGGAGAAGGGGGGGAGAAGGATGAGAAGGAGACGGAGAGGGTGTTCTCGGAAAACAAGGACCCCACTCAGGATGTGGGGAACAAATCAAAGTGACCGCTGGCCCGCATGTTCCCATATTTTGCAGCAACGTGCACTGTGAGGTGGTTGGTGTGGTATGGTAGGTATGGTACTGGTATGGTATGGTATGGTAGGTATGGTATGGGGTGGCAGGCACGGTAGAGGAGGAGGGGAGAGGAGAAGGAGGATGAGGAGAAGGAGGAGAGATAGAAGGCGATGGTGCCCTCGGAAAACAAGAACCCCACTCAGGATGTTGGGAACACATCAAAGTGATCACTGGCCCGCAGTTTCCCATACTCTGCAGCAAAGCGCACTTCGAGATGGTAGGTCTGGTATGGTAGGTATGGTACTAGTATGGTATGGCTTGGTACGTATGTTATGAGATGGCAGGCATGGTAGAGGAGGATGGGGAGAGGAGAAAGAGGAGAAGGAGGAGAAGGAGACTGCGAAGGTGTTCTCGGACAACAAGAACCCCACTCAGGATGTGGGGGACACATCAAAGTGATGGCTGGCCCGCAGTTTCCCATACTCTGCAGCAACGTGCACTTTGAGATGGTAGGTTTGGCATTGCAGGTATGGCACTGGCATGGTATGGTATGGTAGGTATGGTATGAGATGGTAGGTCTGGTAGAGGAGGATGGAGGAGGAGGAAGAGGAGAAGGAGGAGAAGGATAATGAGAGGGTGTTCTCGGAAACCAAGGACCCCACTCAGAATGTGGGGGACAAGTCAAAGTGGTGGCTGGCCCGCAGGTTCCCATACTCTGCAGCAAAGTGCACTTTGAGATGGTAGGTGTGGTGTGGTAGGTATGGTACTGGTATCGTATGGTATGGTAGGTATGGTATCGGGTGGGGGGTGTGTTAGAGGGGGAGGAGGGAGGAGGAGGAGGCGGAGGAGGAGAAGCAGGATAATGAGAAGGAGAGGGTGTTCTCGAATCACATTAACCCCACTCACAAATCAAAGTGATCGCGGGCCCGCATTTTCCAATACTCTGCAGCAAAGTGTACTTCGAGATGGTAGGTGTGGTAAGGTAGGTATGGTACTGGTATTGTATGGTATGACAGGTAGGGTATGAGATGGTAGGTGTGGTAGAGGAGGAGGAGGGAGGAGAAGGAGGAGACGGAGGAGAAGGAGCAGGAGAGGGTGTTCTCGGGACACAAGAACCCCATTCAGTATGTGGGGAACGCGTTAACGTGATCGCCGGCCCGCATTTTTCCCATACTCTGCAGCACAGTGCACTTCGAGATGGTAGGTGTGGTATGGTAGGTAAGGTACTGGTATGGTATGGTATGGTATGGTATGTATGGTATGATATGGTAGGTATGGTAGAGGAGGAGGAGGAGGAGGGGGGAGGGGGATGAGGACAAGGAGGAGAAGGGAAAGGAGAGGGTGTTCTCGAAGACCAAGAATCCCAGTCAGGATGTGCGGAACAAGTCAAACGGATCGCTGGCCCGCAGTGTTCCATATTCTGCAGCATAGTGCACTTTGAGATGGTAGGTGTGGTATGGTAGGTATGGTACTGATATGGTGTGGCATGATATGGTATGATATGGTAGGTATGGTAGAGGAGGGAGAAGGAGGAGGAGGAGGAGGAGGAGACGGAGGATATGGAGAAGGAGAGGGTGTTCTCGGAAAACAAGAACCCCACCCAGGATGTGGGGAACAAATCGAGGTGATCGTTGGCCCGCATGCTCCCATATTCTGTAGCAGCGTGCACTTTGAGATGGTAGGTGTGGTATGGTAGGTATGGTACTGGTATGGTATGGTATGGTATGGTATGGTAGGTCTGGTATGATATGGTAGGTATGGTAGAGGAGGAGGAGGGAGGAGGAGAAGAACGAGGAGAAGGGAAAGGATAGGGTGTTCTCGGAAAACAAGAGCCCCACTCAGGATTTGGGGAACAAACCTAAGTGATCGCTGGCCCGCATGCTTCCATTCTCTGCAGCAAAGTGCACTTTGAGATGGTAGGTGTGGTATGGTATGTATGCTACTGGTATGGTATGGTATGGTAGGTATGGTATGATATGGTAGATGAGGAGGAGGAGGGACGAGGAGGAGGAGAAGGAGAAGGAGAGGGTGTTCCCGGAGCACAGGAACCCACTCAGGATGTGCTAAACAATCAGGTGAGTCGCCAAGTTCCCAGCTGGATCATCGCAGGCCGTCTTGCTCACTCCCTCCCGCTCTCCCCCTACATGAGTAGCACCCGAGTTGATCAGCAGAGTTAGGGGCCGCCATCGATAACCATTGGGGTCCAATGCAGACGCCAGCAGGTGCGCGACGCCCGCGAGGTGCGACGCACGTGCCACCGCGCGTGCCAGGTGCGCCATACGCACCAGGTGCGCCGGGCTCCCCATGGGCCCAAGCGCGCCACTCGCGCCTGGTGCGATAGATGCGCAAGTGCTCCACATTCGCCCAGTGCGCCACGTGCTCCAACTGCGCCAGGTGTGCCACGCACAGTGCGCCAGGTGCGCCAGCGCTCGTCGCAGAACACTTCGGGGCAAACCTTTCCGGTCAAGAACTTGTGCGAAGTGACGACGGGGTTGCCAGCATTGTGCGTCGTGTACGCATCCATAATCATTTTACAGTTGTTTTTGACAAGGGTGGTAGGCCCTCGGCAGCGTGCAATATGATGACGCCCCCGCCGTCAGTGACAAACATCAATACAAAGTAATCGCGGGGCACCCGAACATGATGTAGATTTAGTCGCAAACTGAATTTGAACTGCTTTCTGATTGGGGTACTGGGGGGGGCTTTGCTCCTGGTTGTCGCTGGTCGAGTGGGGGAGGGGGTGTTGGCGAATACGAAGCGGTGACGCACCCCTCCCCAAAGCGGGTCAAGGGGGCCAGAAGAGAAAGTGTTTGAGACCGCCCCCGCCCACGTGGGTTGGTTGAACTTGGACACTGTACGGGGCACACCTCGTCGGGCGGGCCCAGGACCAGGATAAATCTCACCATAGCATTCCAGAACATTCCAGAACGCTCTCAGAGCGCTCCGGAGCGTTCTGGAACGGCCGTCGTATCGCCCTCCAGAAACGCCAGACCTCAGAACTCCCCGACATGTCAAGGTCCGATGTTGTACAGGTCTTGGCTTCGTCCTACCGCGCGGGGCATCACAGCTTTTCTGGGGACGCCTCGTGGTGTCTGCTGTGCGGGAGTGCGGGCGGGCGGTTGTTATTTTCGTCGTCGCCGTCGTCGTCGTCGTAGTCGCTGCCGTCGACATGAGGAGGAGAGGAGGAGGGAGAGGAGGGGGGAGGAGGAGGAGGAGTAGGAGAAGGAGGAGGAGGCGGAGTAAGAGAGGGAGAGGCGAGGACTAGGACGAGGACGATGAGGAGGAAGAAGGAGGAGGAGAAAAGGGTAGTACGAGACGAGAATGCTGAGGAGGAGGACCATGAGGAGGAGGAAGAGGAGGAACATGAGGAGGAGGACCAGCGGAGGAGTAGGAGGAGGACGAGGACGAGCAGGACGAGGACGAAAATGACGATAGGTGGGATGAGAGGAGAAGGAGGAGGAGGAGGACAAGAGGAGAGGAGGAGCGAGGATGAGTGAGGAGGAGGAGAGGGAGGGGACGGAGGAGGGGGAAGGAGGGAGAGGAGGGAGGAGGAGGAAGAGGAGGAGGAGGCGGAGGAGAGCGAGGACAAGGACGATACGAGGGACCAGGACCATGACCAGGACGAGGACGACAAGAGGAGAGGAGGAGAAGACAGGAGGAGGAGGACCGGGAGGAGGAGGACAGGACGAGGACGAGGAGAGGAGGACAATGAGGAGGAGGAGGACGAGAGGAGGTAGGAGGGGGGAAAAGGGGGGGGGGGGGGGAAAGAGGACGCCCGCGGAGGACGAGCAGGACGAGGCAGAACATGAAGAGGGGGAGGAGGAGAGGAGAGGAGGAGAGGGATGGGCGGAGGAGGAGAAAGGGGGGAGGAGGAGGAGGAGGCGGAGGCGGAGGAGGAGGAGGAGGAGGAGGGACGAGCCGACAGGCTGGAGG